ATGATTCCAATACAATAAACTATTTCTATTACACGATTGCAATACAATAGACTATTTGTATGCCCTCAATTACTATTATTATTTTTAGGAACTCATTTTATGTTTGGAGTAACAATTTTGAATCTTATTTAAACAATATAAGCAAAACTTTTATTCACAAATCTTACTTTGGTAAGGGTCATTATCATATGAATTTTATGATTTTATTATTATCATTACCATAACCAATATACTTCATACAAATTATATTTTTAACCATTAAACAATAACTTCAGGCAATTATGATTCTAGTACAATAAACTATTTCTATTACCTTATTCCAATACAATACACTATTTCCGGAAATGTGATTCACTTGCTTTTATCTGTATTACCAACTTTAGCAACTCGTTTTCTATTAGGAGTAATAATTTTGAATGTTATTTAAAAATATAAGTTATCCTTTTATTCACAAATCTTACTTTTATAAGGGTAATTATCATATGAATTTTATGATTTTTATTATTATCATTACCATGATACATAATACAAATTATTTTGTTTAATCATTATAATAAGGGGAAAATAATTAAAATATCCCAAACATTTGAAGGGGTGTGAGATAAACATTCTGAACTTTCATATGTAATTTAACTATCCCAAACATTATATAAAAAGTCATTTTAACAACATGGTTATGTATTAATATCCCAAACTTTCAAAAATGTAAATTTTTGGTATTAAATGCATAATTTAAAATAGGAAATTGAAAACATTAGAATTATATATAGTGGTGGGTAATACTATTTATTTTACAATGCAAACTTAGAATGTTAATTGTATCTTTATGAATGCTAAAATATATCACATCAGGAAATAACTTTTTATATAAAGTTTGGGGTATTTAAAATATATATGCAAGTTTAGGGTATTTACCTCACACCCCTTCAAAGTTTGGGGTATTTTAATATTTTCCCCTTATAAATACTTAACCCTTCTAAATACTTATTTCCAACCTATTTGAACCTATGTATGAAATTTAATAAAATAGATGAGACATTACTTAGCTTTTTAGAAAGCAATCTACCATTATTTTGGCCCATTTGAGCCAAACATAGAAAACAATATAGCATAATTTTGCCCCAGCCCAACTAATTCCATATATACCCAATATTCCACCCAGCTCATTATTCCCCAGCCCTATGTTTTTATTAATCCTGCCACAGCCCAGCCCACTCTTCATCTCTCTTATTCTATCCAGACACTTCAATTATCCTCCGGTTCAACGAAAGTCTCTTAATCTCTCTTATTCTCTCTTCTTCTCTCTTCTACGGTCGATCTTTCTCTATATTTTGTTAACATATGAACGAACACATATCTTTTACTGGTGTTCATTGTCTTATAGCTCTATTCTAAACTTTGCTCGTTTACATGTAAACGAAGTTTTGGATTTGAGCCCTGCTCTTAGCCCTGTTCGTTACATCCGATGATACGTGTGTTCTTACACATGTGAGGAAATAGAACGACTGTACTCTGAGTTTTTATATTTTCTTTTGATTTCCAATAATTTTGAACCGTTCTTGTTTTTATTGTTATTTTTTTAAAATAATTGCTCATATATGGATTTTTTAATAGATGTATATAGATCTCGGAATAATTGCTCATTTTTCTGCGTTTAGATCTATTTGGATCTATAAATCGTTTGCATAAGACGTACTGCATTTGTTGCTTTTAGATCTAAGTATCTATGCAGTTGTGATGCATGTACGTCTTAATTAGTTTAGAATCGTTTCATAGATATATTTTATGGTTTCTTTTTCCGTTTATATTTGAAAATCATTTTTGAAACTGGAATTTCTAAATATGTGCTTCGTGCTTGTTAAAATAAGACGTATTGCATTTAGTGCTTTAAGATCTAAGGATCTACGCCGTTGTCATGCGATTACGTCTTATTTTTGGGATTTTCTGCATTTACATCTATTTACATGTATAGGTATTTGGCATCCACCGCGATTACATAAAACGTATAGCATTTAGGGCATTAAGATCTAAAGATTTATGCCGTTGTGATGCGATTACGTCTTATATTTTTGGATTACATAAAGATTTTCGCATTAAGATCTTATACATGCGATTATATGTATAAGTATTTTGTGTTTATTTTCAGTTTTAATATCGTGGGCACGAACATTTCAGAAGGCATATAGCATTTGTTTCGTGAGATCTGTAGATCCATGAAGTTGTAATGCGTATATGCCTTAAACTGTATTGTGTCAACATATTCTGCTTACGTCTCAAACTGATATGCATAAATCTCTTGCTTATCTCTACGTCTTAATCTGTCTGTCTATTTGTTCTGTGATTTAAGTCTTGAACATGAGCTAGACTTCTCGATATTATTTATATTTTTTAAATTTAGAATTATGTGTCATTCTTCTTCTACTCGACCTAAACTTCGCTTTGGTCTTTGGCCTATCAAATACCCTGCCAGCCATTTAATGGCCTTCGGATCTGCACGGTTTGACAGGCTGGCCCATTGCTCAACAAAACATGTAACCCAATTTTAATTTATTTGAAAAATGAAGTCTGGTAACTAGCTTTGATTAGCTAAATCTCCATTAGCCGTTTAAGTACTCCTACGATAATTATCTTTTAATTTTTTTAATTTCAACTAAAAATATAAAGCGATTTATATCATACCTTGATTAGCTAAATCTCCATTTGCTCTCTTACATTTGATTATGATTGATTTAGTCAGCCTCTTCATTTTTAAAACGGACTCAAAAACATTACCTGGATTTTTAACATGGAAGTATTATACGCATGTAACATATCTCTTGCTTTGATTTGAATTTTGAAGATGCCTATTTGATCAATTAAAGCCTCTATGTCCTCTGGGAAGTGGGTTGTGTCTCCAGTTTTCTGAAAATGAAAATCGTAGTGAGTATCCATCACAAATGTAAATTAAAAGTGTTTTGAAAAACCTTTTCAACTTCGTTCCTCAATGCTGCTGCTGTTTTACCAACAATCTCAATACATTCCCTATCCCATAAGGTGAATGTAGCGTGACCTGAGTCACCCATGACACAAACTGAAACTTTGTATCTGCAAAAGTTGGCAGATTAATGTTTGTAGTTACATATAGCCTAGTTATAGCTAATGGCAAGGGATCCATCTTAAGAAATCATGCAACCTCAAAATCCCCTCGGGAAGAGTTGTGTCACATGTGATGCATCTGAACCTTTCATCTTCTGGCTTGATTTTCTTGTTGCATGTTGGGCAGCTAAGGTAACACCAGTCCTTGTAGTTGTCTAGTGATACAATCTCACCAAGTAGCCAATAGGTTCCATCCTGTGTACATATGTGGGTTACAAAACTTGATTATTTTTTACAAATACACTGCCTTGAATAATTTTTTACCTGCGGTTCCTTTAGCAAATCGGCAATGTTTGTGATAGTAGCCTTTCCTCTAAAAACGTCCTCACTACCTTGACCCACTGAATTTGCAGTGAAGGTAGTCATTGTTGTATTATCTTCATCTGGTTAAAACTGTGCTTTGTAGTCTTCGAACTCTGGGGTAGAACCATTTATTATCAATTTGGAAACATCATAAGATGTACCAACAAACACTTGACCTGTACAAATTGAAATCTTTCATGAACCCCATAAGAAGCTTAAATAAATAACTAAAGCTTATAAAATGCGTCTAATCTTTACCTTGATAGCGTCTAGGTCTTCCCATTTGTAAGATGATGTAGATGGGGTCCTTGTTGTGAGCAGCATAAAAATCAGTGAACTGCTTGCAGTAATTGTTCCACAGTGTGCATCCAATTCGATTTCCGCTACAAAAAAAAGAAGAGATTCATCATAAATGAATAGGAATCAAACTCAATACAATATCATATAAGATTTTGAAGATTAGGAACGTACTTTGGATCTTCTAAAGTTAGTTCAATTAGCTTTTCAGGTTTGTTGTTAACGATCGGTGTTTGTAATGGAGTCTTCCCTACGTACTTACCAATTACATCTGAAAAAAGCTTTGGATTAGTGGCCCAAATATAATAAAATGCGTCTAATCGTTACCATGATAAAAGGCTTTCTTTATAATGATATGTAAATTTACCTATCACCAATTTGTCGTTGACCACCCTTAGACTCTGGAGTGCATCAAATTGGTGAAAGCTGAACACGAAATTAGGAAAAGTTTCTTCATGCAGGTCATACACCGTAGTTTTCTTGTAAAACTCCAGAACGTAGGGATGTTCCGTTGTTTTGTAGTTGTAGTAGTTATCAAGAACTAAGAAGTTCTTGATTCTAAAACACTTGTTTTCCAGCAGTTTGTTTTTGTATAGATGCATGAACGGCCTCTTTACTACAACATGAATACGGTCACCCTGCATGATAGACGAATTGTTGTTATAAAATAAAACCCGCGTTAATACATAGATATTGGAAAAAATATCAGCATTCATATGAGAAATTACATCCTCATCGTGGAAAACAACTTCCATTCGTGCACCTCCTTTGGATAGGGGGATACTTCATAAGCTCTAACCACCCTTACCCTGAGAGCCCATGTTAACTTCGTGTGGTTGACTTCCTTAATCATAGAATACAAAGAACTGTTGTTTGGGTAATGGATTTCTTTGGTTGTTGCCATGGTGGGTTTGTAAGTGTGAACCGAGACATGAGGATCACCCATATTTATAGTGAATTCGAATATTTAGGGTTTGCAAAGAAACTGAGATCATCCACTGTGCAATAAGCCTCAGCCCTTCCAACCACCGCAATAAATGCCATTCAACTCCATTAATGCTCCTGTAATGAATTTGACCACGATTGTCACTTCGGATATAAAGCAAAAACTACGAAATTTTGACCAAACCTACCAAAATCGAATTGCCCACATTTGACCCGGATTCGACCCGGTAGTTTGGGCAGGAAATATGACAGCATATCCACTTCGTTTTGTATATAAGAAGATGGTACAAGGAAAATATAATTATTCTTACAAATACTATGCAGAATTTATTTAAATACAACCTACGGAGTAAAATTATTCTTAGAGATACTTCGTATTTAGTTCATTTGAATTGTGTCTAGCTGCGAGACCGGCATATCCCGGTCAATGGAACATGATACCCAGACATCGGCATCCAAGACGAAGGAGCAGCATCCACAGCCACTTAAAATTCAGATATACCCCCCTGCAACTGGCGAAGTTTCATCTTTCTGGAAAGGTTTCTGTCTCCATATATATAATCTGGTGATTTGGTCTATGTTTATTGATATACAATTTACTAAGCTAGTAGCTTTGTTTTCTTTTCTGCTGGGCAGAGAAGTATGATAGAGAAGCAAAGAAATACTGGGAAATCTTTTACAAACGCCACCAAGATAAAGTACGCTTCTCATGTTAACCAGAAAAGTCTGTCTTTGTGGTACATTACAGCGTGTTCAATTAAAGCTCTACTTGATTCCGGTGAACTTAGTTCGGCAAAAACTGAGTGATTTTTTGCAATTTAATGTGTATATAAAAAGGGTTTGTTCAAATAATTATTAGGTTAGTCTAAGTGAATGCAATAGCATAACCCGTCCCTATATAAAAATCTCTCTTTGAATTGCACTTTCCTTTTACACGGTAGTCCCTAAATAAAGTCCTTTTCCCTACCTATTGGGTAAACAAATTAATACTACGTATGTAGTATAATTTACTCTACAACTCTTAAAAAATAATGACACTATAGGGCATATCATTAAGTAAAAAAAGAACTTAATGATAGGGGACAGGGGAGTATTAGATTATTTGGTAGGATGTTTATCTTAGTGAAAAATTAAAATATGATTTACAAGGAATACTCATCTTTCAAGAACCTCATTTAGGGCTTCTCCAAAATTGAATTCTAAGAGGTTCCCCAAGTGAAAAATAAATAATACAAGTGATATTATGGATTTCAATAGAACTGACTTTCTTGTCATCAAATTATTCAAATAAACTTAGCTAACTAGGAAAGTACAGTAAAGTTTTCAACTTTCATGAACTTAACTAACTAGCAAAGTACAGTAAAGTTTTCATGTATGTATTATTAATTTTCCATTGACCTGATGAGCTACGGAGGGAAGTTAATTTTTTTGTCTTTATAATAAAATTATAATCAGTTTTTCAAGGATAGGCACTACTTGGACAAGGAATGGGGGCACTACTTTTCTGTAAGTCCAAACAGTAATCACAATAAGTATATTATTTTTGTTTTGATCTTACCAGGTTGTTTTTCTCCATCTGATCCTTGTGTAAATGTAGTCTATTACACTCACTATTTCTTAATCTTTGCAGGGTGCTGGAGGGAAAGTAATCCTTGAGGTAGTTTATATAAATAGTGGTCATATTGCAGTTTGTAATGTATCTTAGTTTCCATCAGACTTTAAATCTTCTATCACTTGTTTCCAACAGCAACATGATTTTCGACAGGGGGAAAACTAGTCTTAATTTTGAAATGCTTTTACTTCCAAAGGTCTCTGCTTGACATCAAGTATGAGGCACTACGTATTTCCATCCTATTTCTCAGGATGCTGTTGTAATTGTATTGAGTTATCCTTTTGATGCAATAATGAGTTTATCATTACGATTCAATGGGCAGCATCTGGGAGTCCTTCTAATAAACTGTTTTTGCATGATTTCTTTTGATACTTGATATGACCTTTGTTTTTATTTGAAGTCATGCTTCGTGAAAAAAACCTGAAACTGTGTTTGATGCTTTCTCTGGAATGACAATCAAATAAATGATGTTATTTTATTTTAGTAAACTATACTACCTCCACCCCAAATTAATAGTGACAAAACTTTTCTTTTGTAGATTAAGAAGATATGATAAAAAAACTAAAATACCCTCTCATTTTATCATATCAGTGAAAAAGTGAGTAAAGTTGGAATGACAATGTTGTAGATTTTAAGTAAAAGGAAGGGTAAAGTATGAATGGTATGTAGGATCATTTACCAAACAGAAACGTAACATTTATTTTGGGAAGAAGGGAGTAATTGATAACAATTTTAAAAGCTAAAATGGGCTTCATGCTTTATACTATTCAGTTTGTTGTGTTCATACTTTTATACATAATTATCAATTCATGTTAGCCGACCCCAAAATCTTTTGCGACTGAGGCTTGGATATTGTTGTGGTTGACATTCATTGATCCTTAGTTATGCATTATACTTCCAGGTTGGTTGTGGTGCTGGAAACACCGTCTACCCCTTGCTTGCTACGTATCATGATATATTCGTGCACGCTTGTGACTTTTCACCACGAGCTGTAAACTTGGTCAAGGTGAGCATTTTGTATGGAGAATATAGTTTCAAGTTTTCTCATGTTTTTTATTGTATTTCGGCACTTCAATAAGATATTTAGTTGAATAGATGCGAATGTAATCTGCATAACTAACCTTCATGATTCATTTGCCCGATTGCAAACATCTTATAGGTAATGGGCTGTATTTCGAACACTTAAACCACTTCAAATATGAATCCATCATATTGTGTGCTTATAGCAGTGATGTGCAAGTGATAGATGCTTCAGAGCTGCGGCTCTGTATGTTATGTCATAGGCAAAGATCTCCTCATTTTCATTCTACAATGTGGAGGCTTATGGTTGCCAACTTGAACTAGCCATGCCATTCACACCTCAATGTAGGACTAAGTTCCGACCTCCCAATGCAAACACCAACCCTTCTAAAAGGCTAACTGAATAGTTGATAATTACCTGAAACCTTTCAGAAAATGTAATTGTTAATTGTGTACTCTTGATTTGTAATTGCTATAAGAGGGCATTTGGTTGGCAACTTTTGAATCCTGGAATAAGAACTGTTCATATTGATGCTTTTTGCCTTATAAGTTTAGTCTCACTATCAAGCCCTAAATTTTCCACATTTTTCATTCCCCACTTTATTTCATTCTTCTTTTTCTCTTTTGCTTTATAAGAAAATTTCTTAAATAGGAGAAATAGTCTAAAAACATAGACAAAGTGAACAAAGAGGATCACCATTGTTTTCTTCCTAAAATATGACTCATTCACAACTCCTAATTGGGGAAGTTTTATTCTTTAAACAGGATCAAATAAGTCCTATTTTGTGCATAAAGCATACTTGGTTTTATTTATGCACTTTGTGTATGTTTTAGTCCTATTTGAAGCAATTTCTTCTATTTATTTTATTTCTTCTTCTTTTCCAACTTCTCCTTAATTTTGGGTGAAGCACTGGCATCTATTGTGAGGCATAGAAGACAGATGTAGTGTGGAGTAGTCAAGGAGAGACGTGTGAGGTAGAGAGAGGAGAGGCCTGGAATTTTGGACAAGATTTTCTGATAAATATATTTATTTTTAAATTTTGATTCCAGTGCCATGCCTTTTTGTATCCAAACAACACCACAGCTCCATTACTATTAGTAAAGCCCATTCCAAATCAAATGCTGAGTCCCCTATTCGAACCAAACATCCTCATGCATTCCCTCAGCACTTCATAGATAGTTTTTAGATACCTATTAAAATTTCCCTTTTTTTCCTGAATTAATTACAGGCACGCAAAGATTTTGAAGAGGCCAGAATCAATGCATTTGTTTGTGACTTGACTGCTGATGATCTATGCCAGCATATTGCTCCATCTTCAGTAGATATTGTGACCATGGTATTAGAATAAAGATGCACAAAATGCAACTAGTTTTCCTGTGACGGAATTCTGCTCTAATATTTGTTTGGATGGTTTTATTATTTACAGATATCACTGTTTGTATATTCCCTTTTTCATGAGCTGATAAACATGGGTTTTCCCTCTAACATACACTGACTTGGTAAGCAGATATTTGTTTTATCTGCAGTAACCCCTGAGAAGATGTCACTAGTGTTACAGAACATTAGAAAAGTTCTCAAGGTTATTTATTCAAGCTCATGCGTCTAGTTGCTTTTTGATAGCATGAACACGCTTGTGTGATTTAGTTGAATTTATTTTCTTCATTATGACACTTTTTTGCTTCCCAGCGAGACGGTTTTGTCTTATTTCGTGACTATGCAACTGGAGACCTGGCTCAGGTAATTTAAATTAAGGATCGTGAAGCTCATTACTCGTCATGCTTACGTAGTTTTTGGTACCTGATTACCTCCTTTGTTTGCAAAGTTTGTATTTGTATTATTCGAGCAATCGAAATTGGTGAATAAGGATGACATACTTTTTTCTTGCCATCACTTGCAGCAGCATATTGCATATAAAGTATAAACCCCTTATTTATTACTACCTCTGTCCCGGTGGACTTTGCCAAGTGCAAAGTAGGTGAGAAATAAGAATAGTAAAAACTGTGTGGTTGCGATTTGTGCAGAGGAGAGAGAAATGTGCAGAACCACAAGTTAGTTGCTTTAATAGGAAAGGGTCAAAGTTTTTTGGGACAACCAAAAAATTAAAGTTGGAAAAATCCAAGGGGACGGAGGGAGTAATACACTATGAATTCTATTTATAATCATGATGACCGGCCCATAATTAATGCTATCATGATGACTGGCTATAACTACGATGTGCATTAATAATACTGGTCATTCTGTTTTAAATATTATGCCCACATCCATGTGTTTTGGTGTATAATCCACGTGATGATATAAATATTATTCACGAAGGCAACAAGCCAACAAGGGTTTCTTAGCTTACATACTTGGAGTTTGTATCAAGGTGCACTATGTTAAGTGCAAAGTTATTCTTCCAGTTGATTTATGTGATATTTTAGTTCATCCAAGTCAACATTCGATATTATCAAAGCAAACGTCAAAAATCTAAAGAAGGGGAATGCGATCTTCTTAAAAATATTCCCATGATGCTCCGTAGCTCTTGCAAACTTGGAATATACAAGTCAATCTCTCTCTTGTTAAAATGTAAGTTTGTTTTTTGCAGGAAAGGTTAATCTCAAAGGAGCAGAAGATCAGTGATAACTTCTATGTTCGGGGTGATGGAACTGTAAGTTCATGTTATAGATACTGATTTGTCTTGGAGAGAAAAATGTTGGTTTTATTTTTAAGGTGAATTCAGATCATCTTATATAATATTTATTTACCAGCGGGCGTTCTACTTCTCTGATGAGTTCTTGACAAATCTTTTCAAAGAGAATGGATTTGATACTGACGAACACTTTTTGTGTCTTAAGAAAGTGGAAAATCGCTCAAGGGAAATTGTGATGAACAGGTATCAATTTTAGCACACTTTTTACAATGTTAAATTCATGTTGCCTACTTGCCTTTAAGATTTTTTTGAGTTCCACACTCTGACTCGAGTCAGATCAACTATATGCATATGGTTAGTACAGGCATGCAGGCACATATGTAAGTTATGTGCGCACGACTCTTTCATAGCTTTTATTTTTTTAAACTCCAAATATTAATGCCTTTCAAGAATTAACCTATAGTTATTTATTCTGGTATCTTTTGGAAGCCTCTAGCTGGCAGAATGTTGTGTAACAGAAAAATAAAATCAACGGGGTAAACCGTTGCCCAAATAATCAACGATAAAAAATATCGTTGCCCAGAACCAAAAGGCTAAAACCAATTTTATTCCAAGATAATAAGAATGAACCCTGGCGAGGGGTATAAATATCCTTCTACAAGAAACCCTAATCAAGCCCAAATTAATTAAACCGTAATTAAGCCCATACTAACTCTACTAAATACTCTACTAATAATAGGCCCAAACTAGAAAACATAACATAAACTTTATAATAATAAATAAAACTATAACCCTAGCCCACAACCAGCCCACGAAGGTGGGCCCAAGCCCGTTCCCGCCCCTTGATCTATCTGCTCTCTATCAAGGTTGAAATCCGGAAACCGGCTCACATTTGTCCCCGGGGGCTGTACACTATCCTTCGCAAAGCTGCCTCTTGATCCCTGTAAGCTGCCACCACTGGCAGTCAACGGAGGACCCATGTTTGCCATTAAAACGCTGCTGGAACGTACCCTGAGTAATTGTAATTCGTACAGATTATGCTGCCACTTCCTCCACTTTGGACAGACAGATTATGCTCCACATCGCGAGCTAATTCCATGGCCGTCTCCAGGTTATCTGGCCGTAATAAGCGCAACGAACTTCGTATTTCTTCCTTAAGTCCACATAGACTTTCTTTGTTTTCCACCCTCAGGTTTTACTTGAAACAGCAATGAATGGGGATTGGGGGGAAAAATATGTTATTGTTTGTGGGATAGGAATGGAGTTCACCCTCCCCTAGTGTTATTGGTTTCTTTTTCAACTATTCAATTATTTTTTTGTACCAAGTATAATACTGAAGGTTAAGAATCTCAATATCTAATGGAATCCATACAAACTTTGGCTTTGAATGTTTAATTATGAAGGTTAATAATCTAAAATTTTAGTACCGGATCCTTTTCAATTGTAGCCCTAACATTGGCAAAGTTAGCCAAATGCTTAAGAAAGAATCTTTATAGTACCAATAGTATTATTTTTTGAATTGTAGGTCTATGCACCATTTTTTTCCATCGTTTGCAATGGAGCCAAAGATTCACTATTTTTTGTCTTGGAAAATGATTGAATAAAGCAAAATGACTCACTAATCTGTCTGCGCATCTTTGTTATGAAGGAGCGGTCAATTCATGCAATTTTCGACGCGATTTTCACCATAGGTCATTCAGAAACACTCTCTGTGCTTTAGTACAAGGTAAGGCTGTGTACATACGACTACCCTTACCCCAGTGCCTTTGCGGCACTGGGGTTATGATGATGATGATGATGTGGGTTTATGCACCATGTTGTATGTGGTTTGCCAATGATATCATATTAGTTAATGAGTGTAAAAGAATGTATATATAAAAAATGGAAACATGGAATTATGGTGACAGTAGTATTTGGTATGCAAATCTTGAACCTTTCAAGATAAAAACTATGGAGGCGTTTACTTTGCTGCTAAAGTCACAGTTAGGTTAGTAAGACAAGTGAAGTAAACGCGCAAACTGCTTAAAAAGCCGCTTACTAACCGAAAGAGCTGCTTAAAGTGTCGCTTACTAAACTTAACACCCCCATGTATTAATTAAGCGGCACTTTAAGCTTTTTCACTTTCCGAATTTACCCCTACCCTTACTCCTTGCCCTTACCATATTGTTACCCTCTACCCCACCCCCGCCCTCTATCCCCTAACTCAACCCTATCCCAACCCACCCCGACCCCAGCCTGTTCTTGACCCCACCCCTTTTACCCCCACCCTAACCCTTACCACCCCACCCTGACCCCACCCCCTTTTACCTTTACCCTAACCCTACCCCCCACTTGTACCCCTTACCTCGACCCTACCCTTTTACCCCCTACCACCTGCCCCTACCTCGACCCCGACCCCACCCCACTACCCCTTCTGGCCATACCTTACCCTACCCCGACCCTACCCCTTTACCCCCTACCACCTGCCCCTACCTTTACCCCACCCTGACCCGACCTCGGCCCTACTCCCTACCATCTACCCTAACCCCCACCTCGTACCCTAACCCTACCCTACCCCTAGTCGTTACCACCTTTACCCCTTACCCAACCCTACCCTACCACCTGCCCCTACCTTGACCCCACCCCTACCCTGGACACACCCCATCATCCCTACCCCTACCCCTAACACCCTACCCTAGGGGGTAGGGGGTACAAGGGGGTTAGGGGTATGGGTTGGTGTAGGGTTGAGGTAGGGGGTAGGGTCAGGGTGGGGTTAGGGGTGGTGGGGTAGGGGTATGAGTACGCGTACGAGTTGACTCCCACGTATTATATTATATACTTGTGTTCATGTATGTTTCTATGTCTATATATGTATAAGGCTATTTTGGACATTTTAATGTTAAACGGTGTTTTAAATCCTTTGAAGTAAACATGAGCTTACAACACCGCTTATTTTATGCGCCGCTTATTAACGCGAGTCTTAATAAGCACCGTTTAGTAACCCGTGAAGTAAATGTGTCCTATGTGAAATTGGATGGGGATATGGGATAGAAATATCACCAAGCGTCTGTTTCAAGTATCTTAGAGTTGTCAGGTTCGAGAACACCCGAATTCTCAAATTACCATGTTAAACGATTTGATGAATAGACGGAGTTAGAGTCGTTTTTTCCCATTGGTTGAATAAACCATATTGATTAAGGTTTCATTTTTAGCATTTATTCCCCTCCTCCCATAAATTTCTTCCTGCATTCCACTTGGATAGTCCCGAAATTTGTAGTGTTTCTTTCTAGGGAAAATTCCTGAAATAGGAATAAAAAATTTAAAATTTCAAAACATGACTAGTATGTATTTTCCCTAAACAGGAGTAACTCACTATCCTCTTGAATTTTTATTGCCATATTTTGAGATTATCACACTTAAATATTGCAGTATCAATGCCGCCATAATTGACAGTATTTTTCCAAGCATGAAAATAGTTACTCTTATTTAGGGAATGAAAACACAGTGCTCAACATTGTTTTTACCCTATTTAGGACAATTTCTTTCTTTAAGGAAAGACCTATGTGGTTGATTTTGTCTCCATTCTCTTAGTAAGTTGGCCAACTGCCAATTCAAAGATGGAAAAAAATTATGGAACATCTGAAGTATTTACTTTCAATATGACTAGTTTAAATTTATCATCACTGAGATATGTGGTACTCCACATTTGTAATCCTGTCTTTGAGTTATGTGCTTTCCCATTTCTAGCCCTTCAATCCTCAGGTCATTGTTTGTTTTGGCATTTGTACTAATGTTATGAAATTGTTAATTTCAAACAGAAGCTCTGAAAACGTTGAAGTTTTCAAGGGAAAACATGTAATTTCCTCAATAAGGGTCCTTTGCATCAGTTACTTGCCAAGTTCTCTTTTCTTCTTTCAAACCAGAAACAAAAAATGATTTCTGTTTGTATCATTGACTGATAGGGACCTAGACAACGGATAATAATAAGAATAGTTGAATTATAGGAGTATTAAATAATGTAATAATGTACAAATAAGGGTGTCGGGCCATACAATTCATGAGTTTGGGCTGGCCCTTGAGAATAGACTTACTATAAGAGTGGGAAGTTGGGAAGGAAGGGGGTTAGGCAGAAATTTGAAATAGACTTGGGATTTGGGAGAGGGGATTGCTCCAAGTGTCTAGTGTATTTTCCTTTTCGTTCATCATCTTTCTCTAATATACGCCACATTTACCGTCTATTTGAGGTTCCTATCATTTAGTATCAGAGCCGTCAACCCCGGGAAGCTTTGATCGACATTCACGCGAAAAAAATGGCCGCCTCTGGTTTGCGCACGAACATGGAGAATTGCTCAAACTGCTTGAACAGGGAGAAGCGCTCGAACTGCTTGAACAAGGAGAAGCGTGCGAAGAGCAATGAAAAGGTTGAAAGTGATTGGGCGAAGGTCATCACCAACAACTTTTCTCAGTTCGCGTCAAAGTGCGACGTGATCAATGGGAGAATCTTCCAGCTCGCAGACTGAGTTGTGAACAGCTCGTCACAGTTCGCAGAATCTGATGTTAGCAGATTATCTGAGTTTGCAGGTTTTGTTGCAAGCCGGTTCTCACAGTCCACAAGTTCCATTGCTTCTCACAGATGGCGACAATGAATGCCAGGAACAACCAACAGTCATAGTTGTCATGGCGCATGGCAATCGCCATGGCTCGAAGGCATTTTTTCATGGCGCATGGTGATGGCGCATATACAAATGGCGCATATGACGCATATGGCGCTATGGAGACGACCACTTTTTCATGGCGATGGTGCTATTGGTGTGCGCCATATCTCGCCATTGACTATTATGCCTACAGTTGCCGCTAGACCTGAAGCTGGTGCAACTGCTCGTTTTCTCAAGTACGAGTCTGTCAAGTCAGACTTGTGAACCAATATGTTCAAGCTTCTTCAGGTATGTGATACTGCTTGTGTGGGAAAGTCCACAATGTCTTCTCGGCTCGTACAGAAGATGAACTGGCCAAATGTTTTAAAGTCTGAAATGGTGTACTGTCATTCATTAAACATTACTCCCTCCGTCCCTAAATTTACTTCCAACTTTCCCTTTTCGTCCGTCCCAAAAAGAACTTCACTTTCCCTTTTTGGCAAAGAATTTGTGGTTCACAACATTTCTCTCTCCTCTGCACAACTCTCCACCACACAATTCCCACTTTCTTAATCACCGTGCCACTTTAATTTGGAAGAACATTTAGGGACGGAGGGAGTACTTTGGAAGGACTGAACAAGTTTGATAATTTCAGATGTGAGGGTGTTAATTCTATCATGGATAATCAAAATGGGTAGGGTGTAGGATTTACTGGGAATTATAAATTGATAATGAATATTTTGGACTAAAGTGGACGTCGCCGACTTGCCGTGTATCGGATGATTGTCAATGACCTTATTCATGATTATCCAGTAACCAACTCCAAACTGAGTGTGATTTCTAGGGAAACACTTGAAACTGTAGGGACTACAATACTTTATGATGACTAACTTCCTTATCAGTTCAAGAGTGCAGAGTGGCCTATGCATGTGAGATGTTGGAATGGTGTACATTATGGGGTTTATGTGTTCGAAGCACACTTGGCTTTCATATTATGGAACCATTGCTATAATGCTCCTGGTGAAGAGAACACAATATTCCAGAGGTGTAGCTACTGGTTGCTTGAAGAGGAGCAGTCAGACATTGTTCAAGCGCACTACAGGGAAGTAAAGGTTAGCAGGAGAAACTATAGTCATACTCGAGAACCTCAGTTAGTTATTTCCTCTTTTCCAGATGGTGAAGAAGAAGTGAACTGCTCTGATGTGGGCATTACACTTGGTAATCTCATTCCCCAATAATATGATTACCAAACAAAATCACATGCTACAGATACGGCTAGCCTTAACAGTACTCAAGCCTCAGATTATGAAGAAGCTAAAACAGCAGTGCACAATCAACTATCAACTTCTGGGATGCACTCTTTTACTGAGTTTCAAGAAATTATGAACCCCAATGGTGAAGATGAACTTTCTGCTCCTTATTATCCAGTCTATATCTCAAATGCTCATCAAGGCCATTTTCCAGCTGTTTCTGAAAAAAATACTGCAACTTATAGATATGTACTGCCACTTTCCACATCTCAGTCTGTTGCAATAAGCAAGATGAATGGGCAAGTGAGTGCTATGATTGGTTTCACAAAGGCCCTAAAAGAATGGGGGGCACCTAATGGTGAATCACGCAAACTATCAAAGTGGTTTGTGGATCCGAAGGCTGAACTGAACCCAGGAAATGAGTTCACTAGCAAGTTTTATACATAGGAAAACTATGGTGAGCAATGTTCAAACCCACAGTTTCAGAGATGAAAGTATGATACCTTGAAGTGGTATAACGGTGTCAATAAGGGGTATGGGCTGCAAGTTCTTGAAAAAGTATCTGAAAGGTGCTTTATCATTGAATACGTTGGAGAGGTGATGGATGTGCATGCCTATGAGGCATGACAAAAGGAATATGCAGCGAAGGGCCACAAGCATTTTTACTTTATGACACTCCAAGTAAGGGACATCAAGAAGGGTGAAGAGTTAACATTGGATCACAACTTTGTTCTTGTTCTTGGTGCTGCTTCAAAAACAGGTGTATTTGTTACACCTCAGTGTCAGGGTTATCTAGGTGATGATTTCAAATGGGCTCAGGAAAGCAAAGAAGAATTTGTCACTATGGAGTACTTGAAGGCTGCTGAAGTGAATGGAAGGTCAATAGATACAACTTCTGTTGCAGAAGCAACAACTGTGATTTTGAAAGTTCAAGTACTGAAGCTAAAGGTTCAGAAAATAGTGATGTACTGGAAAGGGAGTGGCACCAAGATGAAGCTGATTTTGCGGGCGGTTTCCTATCACCCACCTTGAGGACAAAATGGTTGTTCAAAGGGGAAATATGATAGGGACCTGGACAACCAATAATAATAAGAATAGTTGAATTATATTCAATAATTTAATAATGTACAAATAAGGGTTTCGGGCCATATAATTCATGAGTTTGGGCCGGCCCTTAAGAATAGACTTACTATAAGAGTGAGAAGTTGGGAAGAGGGGGTTAGGCAAAAATTGGAATTAGACTTGGGATTTGGGAGAGGGGACTGCTCTAAGTGTCTAGTGTATTTTCCTTTTTGTTCATCTTCTTTCTCTAATATACGCCACATTTACCATCTGAATTTGAGGTTCCTATCATTCACACTACTTAAGCCATTGCTGGTTAGTGTGTTTGACCAAATCTTCATTGACTGATTATTGAAGGGTATGTTTGTGTTGCTTTTAACTTTGCCCATTGTTTTGCCAAAAGAGCACCCTCCCTTAGTCCTTATGGCATAGAATCATTGAACTTTCTGGTCTAGCTCCATATTTTCCTCGAGTTATGGCATAGCTGCATAACTTAAGGTGCAACTTGAAACGTCAATGTGAATTTGTGAGGATATTGAAGATAGGATAAAATGCTCCCTATCTGACAGTATACAAAGTAATACTCCCCCGTCCCAATTTGTTTTTGCGAAGTCAACATTTTTTGGTCAACCAAGAATAAAAGTCAATCCTCCCTATGCATAATTAAATTAATTTTTAATAATTAAAATTTACATATTCATAAACTACATTAAAATCTCTTCAAAGCTGTAAACTTCAAATTAGAATATAATTAAAAATTGACATCCTAATTAAGTGAACAAAACGAAACTGTTTGACCAAAAAAAGTCAAAATTGCAAATCAATTTGGGACAGAGGTAGTAATTTTATTAAGCCGCTTGGGAGAAAGCGCTCTTTGTATAAGCATACATAGCCTATAGGCTTCTTTCCTTGCTACACTCATTCCATAGTGTATTAGTATGGCAAGCTCGTATAAGCCTTTGAGCTGTTTGTAGATCTTTTGAAGTCAGCACTCAGCTCCAAATCTTTTCATGCGATTTCTAACGGGGTCTGATGTTTTCAACTGTTGTGTCAGACGTTGGGTTCAAGCTGTATTCCATTTAGGTTGTGGTAAATCTGATTTGAAAACTGAGGGCAACGTAAAAGAGCTTGGTATGGAATGTCCAGAACCTGCAATACCAATAAAAGCTGAGGGCAATGCAAATGAATTTGACATTGATATTTCTGAAGGAATTGCTTTTGAAATGTTTGGTATTTCATCTTCAAGTGAAGAGGTATGCAACTCATAATCTAATTCTTGTTCCTTTGTGCAACTATTGTCCTTGTGGCATATTGCTGCCCACGTGACTTGTAAAATGTTGAAATATAAACTAGAATAATATTGAAAAGTGGAGGAAAGATTTTATGTGTTTTTCATTAGAGGGTTAAGGCCCTATATATATTACAAAGATGGAATATTCCTATATAAGATGCTATACAATAATAATGTCTAGAGTATATTCCTAAAGCATATTCTAGAGCATATTCCTAAAGCATATTCCTAGATACAATAATACTTTCACACTCCCCCTCAAGTTGGAGCATAGATATTTATCATGCCCAACTTGTTACATAAGTAATCAACTCGAATCCCATTTAGAGCTTTAGTGAATAAATCTCCAAGTTGTTCTCCAGTCTTCACATACCCGGTAGAGATTAATCCTTTTTGTATCTTCTCTCGACTAAAATGGCAATCTACCTCAATATGCTTTGTTCTCTTGTGAAATACGGGGTTGTTTGCTATGTGTATAGCAGCTTGGTTATCGCACCACAACTGAGAAGGCATTGGTGTCTTCAATCATGCGGATTGTGCCATAGCTCGATATTCTGATTCAGCACTAGAACGAGAAACCACATTCTGTTTCTTACTCTTCCAGGATACAAGATTACCACCAACAAAGACACAATAGCCTGATGTAGATCTTCGATCATCTTTAGAACCGGCCCAATCAGCATCTGCAAAGCATTCTATTCTCATGTGATCATGGTTTTGATAAACAATACCTCGTCCTGGTGCTCCCTTTAAGTAGCATAATATGTGTTCTACAGCAGCCCAATGATCAATGGTCGGAGATGACATGTATTGACTCACTACACTCACAGAGTAAGCAGTATCTGGACGAGTGACTGCGAGATAATTAAGCTTTCCAACCAATCGTCTATATCTTTCTGGGTCTTCAAATGGCATGCCTTCTTGAGTGAGTTGCACATTGGGAACCATGGGAGTATTGCTCGGCTTTGATCCCAACTTCCCTGTTTCAGCGAGCAAATCAAGTACATATTTTCGTTGAGATAGAAATATGCATTTCTTACTCTGTGTTACCTCAATACCCAAGAAGTATTTCAATGAGCCTAGATCTTTTTTTGGAACTGGCTATGAAGATAATTTTTAAGGGCCAAAATACCTGCATTATCACGGCCTGTAATCACAATATCATCGACATACACCACAAACAATGTGATACCTGCTTTTGTTCGTCTGTAAAAGAGTGAGTGATCTGATTTGCCTTTGATCATTCCAAACTGTTCAATTGACCGACTGAACTTCTCAAACCATGCACGAGGACTCTGTTTTAGACCATAAAGAGATTTTCGAAGTCGACAAACTTTACCATACTCCCCCTGAGCAACAAACCCCGGATGTTGCTCGATGTAAACTTCTTCCTGAAGGTCACTATGCAAGAATGCATTTTTAATGTCCAACTGATGTAAGTGCCAATCATGAGTTGCAGCGAGTGAAATAAGTAACCTGACAGATGTTAATTTAGCAACAGGAGAAAAAGTGTCAGAATAATCAACACCATAGGTTTGAGCATAACCCTTCGCAACTAATCGGGCTTTCAACCGAGCAACAGATCCGTCTGGATTAACCTTAACAGCAAAGACCCACTTACATCCAATAGACTTCTTCCCTGTAGGCAAGTCTACCAAATCCCAAGTACCATTAAGATCCAAAGCATTCATTTCCTCTACCATGGCATGACGCCATTCAGGATGAGACAAAGCTTCTTTAACAGATTTAGGAACAGAAATAGAATCGATGGAAGCAATAAAAGAACATGAGGCAGAGGATAACTGACTATACGACACAAATGAAGAAATGGGGTGAGTACAAGACCGTGTACCTTTACATAGTGCTATCGGAAGGTCAAGATCTGATGTAGAGACAAGATCTGAAGATGCATGTACTGGTTCAGGACATGAGCTCAAGGACGGACCAATATCGGGATAAGTAATCAAAGGAGTCACAGGTGGAGGGTGATCTGGTGCTCTGTTTCGACGGGTGTAAACCAAGTGTACTGGCGGTCTGGGGTCGGGAACAGTAACATGTGGAATAACTACATAAGGTGTAGATTCCGGTATAGTGACAGAGTAAATGAGTATTTCATCATTGTCATCATGAATATCTGTCTTGGATGATGAAAAAGGTGTATTTTCATGAAATGATGCATCAATAGAAACAAGATATCGACCTGTGCTTGGACAAAAACATCTATACCCCTTCTGAACTCGAGAATAACCCAAGAAAATACATTTTAATGATTTGGGGTCTAACTTTGTAAGATGAGGATTAACGTCTCTAACAAAGCAAGTACAACCAAATGTTTTAGGTGGGATAGGAAAAAGTTCTTTATTTGGAAACAGGCAGTGATAAGGAGCTTTACCATTTAAAACAGAAGACGGCATACGGTTTATCAAAAAACATGCGGTAGACACATCATCCGCCCAAAACTTTTTAGGCACATTCATTTGGAATAGAAGAACCCTTGCAGTTTCTAACAGATGTCGATTCTTTCTTTCAGCGACTCCATTTTGAGGAGGTGTGTCTACGCATGAAGTTTGATGAATAATGCCATTTTGAAGCATAAAAGATTTAAATGGAGCCGAGAGATATTCTTGGGCATTGTCTCCCCTCAACACACGAACAGGAACATTAAATTGAGTTTTAATTTCAGCACAAAATGCAGAAAAATGAGTAAATAACTCTGATCGACGTTTCATAAAGTATAACCATGTCATACGAGAATAATCGTCAACAAATGTAACAAAATATTTGAAGCCAGATTTGGACACAACAGGACATGCCCCCCAAACATCAGTATGAACAAGATCAAACGGAGCGTTTGCTCGTTTATTAAGTCGAGGACTTAAACTAGTACGATGATGTTTTGCAAATTCACACGACTCACATTGTATAGATGACACCTTATTCAACTGAGGATATATTTGCTTCATTAGTGGGAGAGATGGATGTCCTAATCGGTAATGAGCTTCTAATAGATTTGCAACCCCAAGACAAGAGATACCTTTTGTGATTGATGTATCCAAAATATAAAGGGCAGTCGACTCATGTCCCTTACCAATAGTCTGCTTTGTCAACAGATCCTGAAACACACAATATCCAGGAAAAAATGTTACAGAACAATTAAGAGTTCATGTGATTTTACTAATGGAAAGCAGATTAAATGCAAAATTAGGAAGACTCAAAACATGTGATAATGGTAACGTAGAAGTTGGGACAACAGTACCAGATCCAAGAACAGGTGAGGTAGATCCATCAGCTAAAGTGACACTAGAATTAGGTAAATACGAATGAAATGATGAGAATAGACTAGGATTACCAGTCATAAGATCTGTGACACCTGAGTCAATGACCCATTTCGAGGATGAGGAAACAAGACATGTGCTTGAAATACCTGAATTAGCGACTACCGAGATAGGGGCAGATGAATGCTTCAAAAATTCTTAGTAGGAAATAAATTTGGCATACTCGTCTGAAGAAACAACAATTGATCCATCAGATGAACTGGTAGCGGAAGCAACATGACCAAACTGATTTCCTTGATTCTTGAATACCAATTTCCTACATTCTTTGATCAAGTGCCCGGACTTCTTGCAGTAATTGCATATTACTCCTCTGTTAAGTTGACCTGCACACGACATTTTTTTTTCTTTTTTTTTAATTTTTTTTTAAGTAAAGCAAAGAATAAAAGAAAGGAAGTTCAATAGAATTGGACTTCTGTATTCTCCTTGTTGACCGCTAGTAAACAGACTCAAAAAAGTGTGAGACAAAACTTGTTATCAGATTTGAATCCACGTGTGCTTACTGATGGGATGTTGTAGGAGTGCAAGCATAGGTATCCACAACCATGATGCCTAATAGGCTTGTCCTCTCGGTTGTCTTCTGCACGCTCGTTCCCTGGCCGTAGGCGAGCCGGAATGCGGTTTTCGATCGAAAATCTGGGCCGCGAATATACGTCACGCGCCGGCGCGTGAGTTGAGGTCGCCGGACTTGTGGTGGCGCGTGTAGCACACTCGCAGTGTAGTTGGACGTCGGATTATGGCTGTGGGGTCGTCAGAGGTAGGCGCACCTCCTGGGTATGGCTTTGATGCAGTCTGGTCTGAAGAGAATATGGGGCTGTAAAGACTAACTGAGTTTCTGAAAAATTAGCAGCTAATTGAGTTTCTGAAAAATTAGCAGCTAATTGATTTTCTGGAAATTAGCAGCTAATTGATTTTCTGATTTTTTTTTACCGCTCTGATACCATGTTGAAATATAAACTAGAATTATATTGAAAAGTGAAGGAAAGATTTTCTGTGTTTTTCATTAGAGGGTTAAGGGCCTATATATATATTACAAAGATGGAATATTCCTATATAAGATGCTATACAATAATAATGTCTAGAGTATTTTCCTAAAGCATATTCTAGAGCATATTCCTAAAGCATATTCCTAGATACAACAATACTTTCACATAAAACAATAATTAAACCACTGATTTTGGATGCGTGTATAGATATTTAAACTTACATAAAGATATGTTCATGATATCTGTACTTTGTCTATTCCCTTTGCCCAAAGTAGTTGTCTTACAAGAATTAAAAGATACTTTTCCTTGACATTCAAGGAATTTATAACAAGACTTAAATGAGTACATGCATGCCATTTTACTCTCGGGTGGATCAAGTGTTTTAGCCTTGAGTTGTCAGGGGGCAAAAACCCTTGAGTGGTTGAGCGCTTGATTGGTAAGAGTAAAGTGGCTGAAATCATGGCTCAAATGGTTTCATTCTACCAATTCAGTCAAATAAGTTCCAACAACCTTACTTTTTTCACTATTAACCAATTCAGTGCCTGCAATTTTACAATAAAGTGATAAGCCAATAAAAACAATTTTACAATTTTACCATGCATGCATAAACAATATGTACTGGCATTAAGACTAAAACTGCATAGATGTTTTCCAAGTAAACAGTATATGATTTGATCTTCCAGTTAATTTGATTTTCTAACTCTCCTTTTGTAATATTTAGGTTGTTGAACTTAACATTAATGAGTTACACTTCAAGATAAATGTGGTTTCTAGAGAGTACCAGCATACATGTAAATCAACTGGCTTGATGCTATGGGAATCGGCCCGGTTTATGGCTTCTGTGCTTTCTGAAAATCCGAGGATAGTTTCGGGGAAAAGGGTTCTCGAATTGGGATGCGGATGTGCAGGGATCTGCTCTATGGTGGCTGCTTCAAAATCTGCTCAACTTGTGGTTGCCACTGATGGAGACTCAAAAGCTCTTGACTTGTTGAACCAGAATATCAACTTGAATCTCAAACCCTCACTTTTTGCAAAACTGATCACAATGAAGCTCGAATGGGGGAACAAAGATGATATTGACTCCATCCGAAGAATGAACGACAAGGGCTTTGACATAATATTAGGCACTGATGTTGCGTATGTTCTGGAAGCGATATTACCATTGTTTGAAACTGCAAGGGAGCTGATTTGTCATAGAAGAGTAGATGATGGTGGTGGTGGTGCTATTAAAGATGAGGAGCCAGCGGGTTTGATTCTCTGCCATGTTCCGCGCCGAGTTGATGAACTGTCCATACTTTCAGCAGCATCTCGATACGGTTTCAAGTTGGTGGACAGGTGGCCTCACACAGAAACCACAGTCATTACATCTCCAGACATTATCAACAAGTGGTTCTCTCATGGGCATTGTGCAAACTCCCTTCCAACCACAAACTTGAGCATTTTGTATTTCTATAGTAGAGTATAATTTCAAAGATATTTTAACAATAAAAGGAAAAGAATGTAGGATGTTGTTCTTATTCTTGTTTTTGAATTTTGCCATGATTGAGTTTGATTTTTCTTTTTTACATTCAATTTCCTTATACTAGGATCATTTTTGTTAATAACTTGGGAATTCAAATGACCTATGAGTGAAGTAAAGCTATTAGGTTACTATACAACTTATGATTAACCGGCCAGTAGGGGAGCAAAAACTATGAGGTCAGAGCTTGAAACATATATGCTACAAGGGTCAAACCTTAAAATTTCAATGTAAATTCTTATTGTGTGTGTATATGAATGACATTCATATGATCATATCAGGCTGGTGTGACGGGAATCCACAACTCAATTTAAGCCAAGGGTGAAGTTTGTGATCCATTTTTTTGATTTTTTTTTTGTATAAACTTTTAGTTTCAATCATTAAGTCATAAAAAATTTAAAATTTCCAAGCCTAAATCTGCTTTTTAAGATAAATTAATTTTAACCCTTAGGTGAGTGTAGGGATGGACTCGGGCGGGGCCAACCGGCCCGGAACCGGATCGGCCTGCTACTGTGCGGGCCCGGACCGGCCCGGTGAACTGGTTGGTGCCCGGTTCGGGCCACCCGGCCCGGTCATCTAGCGGTTCGGTCCCGAGCCTGCATTTTAGTGAACCGGCCTTGCCGGGCCCGGTCCGGACCGCAACGGTCACATTTTAATTTCTTTTTTAAATACTTAAATGCTCCATAGCCGTTGGGAGAGCTCCCAAACGGCTCTATAGCCGTTGGGAGAGCTCCCAAACGGCTCTATAGCCGTTGGGAGCATAGGAGGGGGGGGGGGTCTGGGGGGTTAGGGGGGTGGGGTGAGGGTGAGGGTGGGGTATACAAAAAAACCTATTTATACTCATATTTTCTATACATTTCTCATATTAGTTAATTGCTACATTTCTCATTAAAGTAAAAAAAAGTAGTTAATTTTTACATTTCTCATATTAGTTAATTGCTACATTGCTCATTAAAGTAAAAAAAAGGTAGTTAATTTTTACATTTCTCATATTAGTTAATTGCTACATTTTTACGTTTCTCATATTAGTTAATTGCTACATTGCTCATTAAAGTAAAAAAAAGTAGTTAATTTTTACATTTCTCATATTAGTTAATTGCTACATTTTTACATTTCTCATATTAGTTAATTGCTAATATTTGTTCAATTTTAAAGATGGAGCGTGGTAGACATTCTGTAGATGTGGGTAATCTCCAACGCAACCGCAAGAGGGAGATTGCATCGACTCGATCTACTTCACGCAAAGGCAAAGGTAAAGCGCGGGTCGAGTCTTCTTTTCAAAGTCGAGATGATTTTGAAACGGATTACCAACGGCGAGATGATATGATGATGTCCGACGAGCAACTACAACACCTATTGTCCCAAAATGATCCACGCTTTGCACAAGAACAACAATTCCCGACAACCATCGATGAAGAGGAGCTCGAGGATGACGATGCGGAGGAGGACGCGGGGGGCGACGAGACTCACGGCACCCCGGATGATGAGCAAGAGTTGGAGGACGAGGGCCGTTCAATGACTACAACCCAAATTGGTAAGAAATCTAAATCTCCTATTATTGAAAACAATTATACAAAAAGGAAAGACGAAAATACCGAAAAATGGTACGCAAGTTGCAATCATTGCAAGAAAGAGTTTAGCTTGGGAACTTCTGGCGGATACGGGAGTCTCAAAAGGCATCTTCAGTCCGCCCACTTTGTGGAGTATGCGAAAATAGACAAAGGCAAGGGGAAGCAAACACAAATATCGAGGTTTGCAAATTCTCAACCCTTTGGTAATTTTTCCTATGATGATAAAAAACATTTGACTGGTATGTCTCATTTAATTGTTGAAGAAAATTTACCCTATATTTTTTCCGAAAGTCTTGCTTTAAGAGATTATGCTCAAGGTACTTTAAATCCTCAATTTAGAAATTATAGTCGCAAAACGATTAAAAAAGAAGTTATAAGACAATATAACTTGGAAAAAGAAAAATTACAAACATTTTTCGCAAACTTTGATGGACGTGTTAGTATTTGTAGCGATTATGGGAGGATACTTATCATCATTTATATTATTTGGGTCTTACTGCACATTATATTGATGATGATCGGAATATGCATAAACGTGTTCTTGCTTTTCGTGAATTCAATGATCATCACACTGCTGATAATATTTATATTCTCATTGAACGTATTTTAATTGAGTATAATTTGATTGATAAGGTGCTTGCTCTAGGTTTTCATAATGCTAGTAATAATATTGCTGCTATACCTAGATTACGTGAATTGTGTGAATTGTGTTTGCATGTCATATTCTAAATTTATGTGTACAAGATGGCTTAGCGGCATTAGGAAATGCTTTGGAGGTAGTGAAGGGGGGGATTAAATTGATTTGGGCTAGCACTCCACTAAAAATGCAATGACGACAATATTTGAAGGATAGACGTGTCAGTTATTGTGCTTTTCCTAAAGATTTGTCTATTCGTTGGAATAGTACTTATAATTTAATTCAAGTACTTATTAGATATAAAGATCATTTTCCAGCTTTTTTAATACAAACTTGTAACTATATTATAAACCCGGCTGACATCGACACTTGTGAAAAAATTGTTAATGTTTTGGCATATTTTAATAACGCAACTCAAACTTTTAGTCATGTTTATAAACCTACCGCAAACGATTTTTTGTTGAAACTGTTAATCTCGCCGGCGCTTTTTGTGAATTTTCCGAAGCCACTTACGTTAGTTATTTTTGTGATTTCATGAAACAAAAGTTTTTAAAATATTATTCACATATTCCGCATATATATGGTATTGCATTTGTTCTTGATCCTCGTTATAAACTTGCTTACTTGACAAATTGTATAGATTACTATTATTCTTCTTTTTTTCCAACTCAAGAGTTCGATGATAATCCCATCGACCCTAAACAAGAATTCAACGATGTTAGTAATTTATTTCATCAATTGTATAATGAATTTCATGCACAATATGGTAATGCACCTCCTCCCATGCAACGAACATCTTCTTCATCTAAAGGAAAATCACTTTAAAATCCGCTTTTGGTTCTCTTTTGAAAAAAAGTAGAGCAACTCCTGCTACTGAACAAAGCTCAGGTAACGAGCTTTCTTTGTATCTAACACTGAATGTTGATTATGAAGTTGGTGATGACTTTGACGTTCTTAAGTGGTGGAAGGAAAATGAAAGAACGTTCCTGATTTTATCAAAGATGGCTAAGCAAATGCTAGCAATGCCGATATCAACCGTTGCCGTGGAACAAGAATTTAGTGCGGCCGGCAACGTCCTAACCGATTATAGAACGAGGTTGAGCCCGAACTCTCTTGAGACACTAGTTTGCTTTCACGATTGGTTGAAGGCCCAACGAAGAACTCAAGAAATTACCATCGCTCTCACCCGCCACTTTATGGAGGAAACAACCGAAGGCGGAGATTCCGATTGATTTTTTATTACAAAATGTATTACATTGTTTAAATTCATCCTAATTCTCAATTGTACTTCTTATTTGAAATAAATATACTTGAATTAGAATATAATATATTGTAATTGTAATAAGAATTATTCTAATAATATAATATATAATAATAATAAAAAAAATTAAAAGGCCCGACCCGTGAACCGGGCGGGTGACCCGAACCGAACCGGACCTGGGGTTATCCGGGCCGGTTCCGGGCCTGCCTTCCGTGAACTGAGGCCCGGCCGGTTCAAGGCCCGAACCGGGCCCGGCCCGAACCGAGTCCACCACTAGATGAATGTTAGAGGTGAAAAAATCAGTTTGAGGGTCTTCCTTTGAACAAAATTAAGATTTAACGATTGAAACTAATAGTAAAAAAAAAAGGATTTTAAACTACATTTTTGGCCTAAAATGTTGGCTCCGCCGGAATCCCATTATGCCCTCCAGTTCTAGTCTTACTTTCAATTCCAATTCACTTTCATTATATGTAAACATATAGTCTAGAAGAGGGCGGATCTAGTACAAAGTGGTTTTACTTTGCAAAAATTTGAACGATACATCTTACACTATTTGTATTGCATATAGATGTTCAAAGTGTTACATATCATTTTGTGAGGAAATAAACAGTTGCATTACTTGCATATTACAAGCAAAATATGGTGGGGCAAGATTACCAAATGGTTTCACCAAAAAATGCTTTTGTTCAAAGTGTTACTTACAAAAAAGTTTGGTTTCATTACCAAATGTCTCGGTACGTTTTCAGACATTAGATCTTTCAAATAGTAAGGCAAGATTAGTTTGTATTTTGTAAATTAGGAGCACTTTATATTTGATCCTTTATTTAGTCTATAATGATCTAAAAGACAGAGCTCAATTATTCACTCCTAGATCGATCTCCATTCAACACGTACTAATATATATATACGTATATACACAATATATATTCCTCATCTATTTGATAGTTTTATTGTACCTGCCCTTTTGAAAACATCAAATAAGTTTAAAATGATTTGGGCACTTTGCTTTTTCCTTTGATATATTTGAAAGTTTTAAATTATTTAAGTTGAATGGACAAATATTGTAATTAGTGCGGCTAAGGTTCCGGTCATTGCGGTTAGAGTTTAAGCGACTCCAGCTAGTAATTGCTTCTTGCTAGTCACTATAACTCCACACTCAATAATCGGCGACTCCGGCTAAGGTAATATTTTAGGAAATGCAAAGGTAACTAGTAATATTGAGGCCACTTTTTCTTTTTTAAAATCAAATTTTACCATTCCAGTTTTGGTTATTCGCACTTTTTACCGCTCCAACTAACAATAATCCCATTGACTTTATATACCGTTAAATCTAAAGAGAGATTTTTAAAATATACTACACCCTTTCATTATTAGTTGTAACATTAGTGAATTTTACACTATTCACATGTTCTACTTTGACCACATTTTATGTATTAATGTATTGTAAATGAAACTTTTGAAAAACATTGTAATTTTCTCTCATTTTAAATTTTTAAAATCTGATTGTTTAACTTTTTTACGAATAAAGAATGAAATATATTAATGATCAAACTTGTGCATTAACAAACATGAAAATTGAAACGTTGTAACTAAAAAAGAATAGAGAAAGTATGCTTTTATAAGTCAACATTATCAATCATCATGATTATAAACCATATTTATTTCTTGATA